GTGACCTGAATGTGACCTGGCAGAATGGGGACCTTTTTTTTTTTATTTAAAGATTTATTTATTTGTGCAAACAGAACTGGCGTACAGGCCACAGCTGCAGGGGTGGTGAGAGGTTTCATCAGAGACAGAGTGGGGAGCAGAACAGGCAGGTTGAGGAAATACACTGCTGAGGGGAGCAGCAGGTGGGCCGGGAGAGGTCTTCATGCCATGTGGGTCGCCTGGGGGAAGTGGCTTTAGCTTCTTTGTGCTGTGCTTTAACCCACTGCGCCGCCAGAATGGGGACCTTTTTATTAGGGCACTAATACCACTCATGAGGGCTGTGCACTCATGACCTAATCATCTTCCAAAGGCTGACCTCTTTTTTTTTTTTTAAAGATTTATTTACTTATGTATAGGAGAGTTGGGGTACAGGCCAGAAGTGTGGGGGTGGGGGGCATAACAGAGACAGGGTGGGGTGGGGAGCATAACTGGCAGACCTACTGAAAATACTGCCAGGGTAGCAGCAGAACAAGACAGGTGAAGTCTGCCACGCCATATGGGTCACCTCCCTGGCAAGGGGATGGAACTCATGTTGCAGTGGCTTTGGATTGCTTCCATGTGCTTTAACCTATTGTGCCACCCTGGAGGGCCCAGGCTGACCTCTTAACACTTCACACTGGGGAATAGGCTTCAACATGTGGATTTGTGGGGAACACAAACACAAAAATTCATTCTCTAAAATATTTGAAATGATCTCCTGAGGCTAAGTGTCCCTAGGAAATGATGATTGAGTAGTTCACATATTCTGGGAGGATTCAAATAGGGTACACTAAATGACAGGCCACAAGTCACCGACACACAAGACCTTCTGTAGAAACAAAGGGAGTAGTTCACCAACAGGCAAGTCCACCCCCTAAGAAAGGCACTAATCTTTACCTTCCTTCCTGGTAAACACATATCCTAACCACAAGATAGCCTCTCTGTGGACTCAAGACAGGGTTCTGCAAGTTCCTTCCCCTAAGTAATGG